GGCGAATCGCCTTACGTATATCCCTCCAGAAGTGGTAAATGGGGGTCTTAGAATGCCTAAGGCGGTGCGTGAAGCGGGAGCGGCGCGCTGGAAGAAGTGCTTGGTTGGGCAATTCCTGCAGGATCCTCCATCTCTCTATGTCCTGAGTCGCTGGGTCAATAAGCTTTGGGGGAGAGACGGTTTGGTTAGGGTTTCATTGCTCTATGACAAGATGTTATTGATTCAATTACCGAATCAACAGGTTTGTGAGTGGATTTTGGAGAATGGCCCCTGGTTCTGGTTTAACAATCTACTATATCTCCGCCCATGGGTCCCTGGTATCAGTTTTGAAGACTTAGAAAGGAAAGCTCTTCCAATCTGGGTTCATCTGTCGAATGTGCCACTTGAATATAATGATTTCCAAGGGCTAAGTCGTATAGCTAGTTGGGTGGGTGTTCTGCTGGGGGTTGACCATACAACTCGAATAGGTAACAGGCATGGATTCGCTAAAGTGCTGGTTGAGCTCACTGTTGAGAGTGACTTCCCTGATCATGTTTTGCTGTGGCCGGACGATGATTCATCAATTCAGATTGGAGTCTCGTATTGTAACTTACCCCCTGTCTGTTCAGTGTGCAAGATCTTTGGGATATCAGGGGCATGTGTGGCACATCATGGGAAGCAGTGGGTACCTGTGGCAACGCAGGAGATTCGATCCACACCGGTTCAAGAGGCTTCTACAGAGGGGGTGCAGGATAATCCAGCTACTAAGCTAACAGAGAGTGCAAAGGGTAAGGAGGTACAAGAGAGTGTTGATCCCCAATTGCAAGCTATATTCACTAGCCCTCCATTGGTTGATGCGGGAAGGATCGCTCCTCAAAATTTGGAGAAGTCATTTGCAGCAATGGCGGGGTCAGCTTCACCCAAGTTACCCACTGAGGATGAATTCCAAAGGGTTGTCAATGTTGCAAAACCTAGAGTGTGGTTACCTGATAAAGCTAAGGGCGCTATTCAAGCATCAACTTCTTCTTTTAGTGTTCTGGGCCACTTAGGAGATAAGGAATCAGGTAGGATTATGGATGCTCCAAAGAAAAAAGATGCAAAGAGAGACTAGTGGAAGGGAGGAGGGGGGAAACCCCCAACTTCTAGATGATTTTCTTATTTTGGAATGTGAGGGGGTTTAATAAAACCTCCAAACAGAGGGACTTGATGCAAGTCCTCAGTAGGAATAAAGTTGATGTAGTTGCAGTTCTTGAAACTCGAATAAAATCAGAAAAAGCTAAAGAGGCAGTTGAGGAGATTTTTGCTGGCTGGGAGAGATGTATAGAGTGTGTGGATTCTAATATGGGCAGGGTTTGGCTTTTCTGGGTACCAGAGATTAAAATTCAAGTGATCAAACCAGGAAGAAATTTTGTGCACTGCTTGGTGGAGGATGTGAACAAAGACAGGGTTTTCTTGACGGCTATGTATGCTTCAAATGAGGAATCCGAACGTCAAGCAACTTATAAGGAGATGGCCAAATATAAGGTTGTGGGCTATCCATGGATTGTTGGAGGTGATTTCAACACGGTTCGAAGCCCTGAGGAGACATCAAACCAAAGGAATTTTACTAGCAGCATGATTGACTTTAACACTTGGATTGGGGACATGGAGTTGCTGGATCACAGGGCATCTGGACCACAATTTACTTGGACCAACATGCAAGTTAACAACCCTATTGCTAGGAAACTTGATAGAGCAATGGTCAATCTGGAATGGATTGAGAAGTTCAAGGATTGTGTGGTTGAGGTGATTCCAGGTAATTTTTCTAATAATTGTGGAGTGCAAGTAAGCACTGAAGTTCCAATTAAGTCTAAGCCTAAACCGTTTAAATACTTTGAATTTTGGTCGGAGCACCCTATGTTTTTGGATATTGTGGAGGAAGCTTGGCAAGTGGAAGTCTCTGGGAACCCATGGCAGATCATACAGGGGAAAATGCGTGAGGTAAAGAAGGCTCTTAAGAGGTTTAATAGGGAAGTGTATGGGAATCTTCAAGACCAAGTTAAGGCTGCTGCAGAAGCATTTCATAATGCTAATGTTCAGTCTTTTTCTGTTCCCTCAGCAGAGAGCTTTGAGGCTGCCAAACAGGCTAAGGATCAACTTGATCAAATGACAAAGGCTTATGAGAGTTTTTGTTGGCAGAAATCCAGAGTCTCTTGGCTCACTGTTGGGGATAAATGTTCTAATTTCTTCTATCAGGCAGTGAAAATTCACAATTCTAAAAGAGCAATCAGGAAGCTGGTTAAGGAATCAGGGGAAGAAGTATATCAAACTGATCAGATTGAAGAGGAGGTGATTGGTTTTTATAGAAAACTGTTGGGGGAAGTAAATGAAGAGATTAATCCTAGTACAGAGGAAATACAGCAACTGGTTCAGCACAAAATACCGCAGGAAGAATGTGCTGACTTGATCAAGCAAGTTACAGTAGATGAAATAAGAGCAGTTGTGTTTGGTATGAATCCTCAAAAGGCCCCTGGCCCAGATGGGTTCTCTGCTGGTTTCTTCAAGAAGACATGGAGTATTATTGGGGAGGATGTGTCCAAAGGAGTCATGTTCTTCTTTGATTCAGGTATGCTTCCTAGTGGTATTAATTCCACAGCAGTATCACTGTTACCTAAGGTCACTAATGCTGATTCTCTTAGGAATTTTAGGCCTATTTCTTGTATAAATCTTCTTTACAAGATAATTGCTAAGATCCTAGCAAACAGAATTAGAGAGATTATGCCTTTAATCATAAGCAGTTCCCAATCAGCATTCATTAAAGGGAGAAGTATCATGGATAACATTCTTTTAGCTCAGGAGTTAGTCAGTGGATATAACAGGAAGCATCTTACAACTCGTTGTGCAATTAAAGTTGATATAATGAAGGCATTCGATTCTGTGAATTGGAGATACCTGTTCATTATGATGAAAACTATAGGGTTCCCTGAGAAATTTTTGTTATGGATTAGAAGCTGTCTGCAAACTGCACACTACAGTTTCAATATTAATGGCAGTCTGTGTGGGTTTTTTCGTGCAAAGAAAGGGGTTAGGCAAGGTGACCCTTTGTCACCTTACCTATTTACAATCGCTATGGAGGGTTTATCCACACTGTTGAGAGAAGCTAGTTTATCAGGGAGGGTGCCCTTTCACCCTCAATGCAGGAGAGTGGCTTTGAATCATCTATGTTTCGCAGACGACCTCCTCATCTTTACCAAGGGTTCTGCACAGGCAATTATTCAGGTGAAAGATGTTCTCCAACAATTCTATAGGGTTTCTGGTCTCAATTGTAACCCAGCAAAATGTGAAATCTATTTTGGTGGAGAATCAGTGCAATATAAGAGTAATGCCCTAGCACTTTCTGGTTTCAAAGAAGGGAAGCTGCCAGTAAGGTATCTGGGGCTGCCTCTTCTGGCAGGTAAACTCTCTTCCTCAGAAATTGATATCCTTGTTGATAAAATTACAAAACGCATCAGATCTGGGAGGGCCAAAAAGCTTACTTATGCTGGTAGGCTCCAACTTCTGAACTCTGTGATTGTTGGAATTGTTCAATATTGGATGCAATTATTTATTTTGCCTAAGCATGCATTAAAGAGAATTGAAAGAATTTGCTCACAGTTCCTATGGCATGGTGTGGATGAGGGAAAGGCAAAAGTTGCTTGGAAGTATGTTTCACTCCCTAAGCAGGAAGGGGGGCTGGGTGTGAAGGACTTGGGGGCATGGAATCAGGCTTGTTGCATTAGATTGCTATGGTTGTTCATCATGAAATCTGGGACTCTTTGGGTGGCATGGATGAATGAGTATAAGTGCAGGCAACAAGACTTGTGGTCTTTTAGGGTGCAGTATAGTAGCTCTTGGGCCTGGAGGAAACTTCTGAAACCGAGGGATGTGATTTCACCCTGGCTGCAGAAACAGAATGGCAAAATCTATTGGGGTTCGTAGGAAATGATGGTGTACTCAATACGCAGGGTTTGGGAAACCTTGAGAAACAAGGCTCCCAGGGTTTCTTGGTACAAACTTGTCTGGGGCAGGAATTGCCCACCTCGATTTAGTCTGATTGTTTGGCTGATTATTAAGAAGGCCATTGTTACCAGAGATAAATTGCAGAAGTGGGGAAAAATCAGTGATGCCTCCTGCCCACTCTGCAGTTCATCAATGGAAAGCAGGGACCACCTATTTGTTCACTGCTCCTACTCGAGAGGTCTCGCAGAGGAACTGAGGTGTAAGCTCCTGCTGCAACCAGACTGGGAAACGATGTTAAATGCAATGACACAGGTTGGAAATTCCAGAACAAGAGAGTGGCATGCCCTGCTGTGGTGTTTACTATTGACTTTTATTTGGAAGGAGCGTTTGTGGAGTTATTCATGGAGCTCAATGTCGTCCCCCTGCTCAGGTTGCTGACTTGGTCCGAGCTGATCTGCAGTTTATTGCATATGGGAATAGAGGAATCAGGGATACATTAGTGGAGCTAGGTTACTTATAGAATGGTTTTTCAGTTTTTAGTAGTTGGCTAGAATAGTTACTGTTAGCAGTTGGGAGTTGTTGTTTTACTCGAGATTCTTTCTCACCTCGTTGTATCAGTTCTTCTTGGAATAAAAGCAACTGATTCAACGAATTTTTTTTTTTTTTTTTTTGAATAAGGTTTGTTAGGGCACTAAGTGAATTTCAAATCAGAAATAAAAGAAAAAGAATTTAATGATGACAAAAATACGTATTGGTGTTAACACATAAATTTGATTCACATAAAGTTATCATCTAAACAACAAATTTTCCCGGAACATGAATAATTAGAGCAAAACTGCTATACCTGCAATGTTAATAATTATTATTTTGTATCAAAATTAACATTCAAAGTTGAGATGGCCGAGTTGGTCTAAGGCGCCAGATTAAGGTTCTGGTCCGAAAGGGCGTGGGTTCAAATCCCACTCTCAACAATTAATTTTTTTTTATTCACGTCCACGATCCCCCGCACTGAACCGTTCTCATTTTTCGACTCCGCGCCCTTTTTCTTCGTCCCAAAACTTTCGAAACACCCACGGACCCACCTCCTCCTCCCCTCCACCGCCAAAAAAACCACGACCCTTTCCACTCCATCCCCCATTTGCGCATTTCGACGAACAGTTATGGCGCAAGCAGCCCGCCTCAGCCTCAGGCTGCAGAGGGAGCTTAAGCTCCTCCTCTCCGATCCTCCCCCGTCCACAACATTTCCCTTTCTCTCCGGCGGCTCCGATCTCTCCTCTCTCACTACCATCGAGGCCCGTAAGTTCTTCTCCACTCTCCCCCTTTCACGATTTGAAAAATTGCAGTGTTAATGGGCACTTCACACGAACCCTTGTTTTCGGATTTTTCTGTCCAGACATGGAAGGCCCCGAAGGCACTGTATACGCGAAAGGGACATTCAAAATCAAGATCCAAGTGCCAGAAAGGTAATCAGATTGTCTTCTTCTTCCTTCGTCCCTATTCGTTCTCTGGTCTGAACCTTTTTTCGATTTGGAATATCCAGGTACCCGTTTCAGCCTCCGGTTGTTACGTTTGCTACGCCGATCTACCACCCGAACATTGATACTGGTGGCCGCATTTGCCTCGACATTCTCAATCTTCCTCCCAAGGTGACTCCCGGTGTTATAATTTTTTGGGAAATGAAGTTAGGGTTTTCGCTTGCAACTGTTGGGCTGTTAGATAACTTGTGTTTCGCTCTCGTATTAGGGTGCCTGGCAGCCGTCGTTGAACATTTCGACTGTGATTACTAGCATAATGCTGCTGCTTAGTGAACCGAATCCTGATGATGGACTGATGTGTGAAGCAGTAAGTCATGTGTGATTTTTTCTCTGATTGGATCGAATGGCAGTAGCGCGTAAAAGAACTCCAGCTTCTTTTGTGATTTTTCTCTTGTGAATGTGCAGAGTAGGGAGTACAAATACAATAGACAGGCCTTCGATCAGAAAGCACGAGCAATGACTGAGAAACATGCTAGATCTGGAGTTGGCGAGCAAAATTTGGGGAACCAATCCGCTCATGTTCATACAGACTTAACCAAGGTAGTTGCTTTTCCAGAGGGCGATTGGCTTTTTGTTTCCCATGTTGGTAATCCTCTTAACATCCACGTTTTGGGTTGCAGATGGTAGCAGAAGGTGTGAAATCTGAGTCGAAAGTTGAATCAGTTGTTGGCGTTCCTAGTGATAATACTCCATCTATGATCAGCAAGAAGCTTTCGTTGGAAGCCTCGACTAGCTCGTGTCATGAGAGGGACAATGATCGAGGGACAAATGAGGTATTGAAAGATGAATCTTTCATGCAAAAGCCCGCAAAGGCAAGTTATGGAGGTGCTTTAAAGGGTAACTCTGACATCAATGCTGCAAGAAGATACAACAAGCTGTCGATGAGCAGAAGTAAGTTATCTATAGTAACCAAAGATGAAAATGCTAGCATGGATGCATTGGAGTCGAAGCATTTACAGTCTGCTGAACAGAATCCACCTCCGTCACTTCCTATGCCCTCTACTTGGCCCCACTCCAACTTGTCAACTGGGTCATCTGCATCATCTATGTCTCTCCACGGAGCTAATGTCGACTCAAAGGAGGTGTGCAAGAAAGCAAGCTATGTCGGAAAGAAGCTCTCCTTAGGTCATAAAGGGTCATCATCGCTCAGCCGGAAGACAGCTGACAAGGAGAACATTAAACCAATGGAGACATTGCTTTCATCAGGTCAACAAAGTCCCAGAAGGAAGAGTACGAGCAGTGGCAGGAAACCATCCTTGGTTCCTTTAACCCAGTTGCAGCAGGAGAGTAATGTGGCCAATAGCCATACCTGCTTACCTTTGCAGAATCGCTCCGACGAAGTTCTAACTAAAAGCAAATCATCTTGTCCAGAACACGGAGACAGAATCGCTTGTGACACAAGACATTGTGGCCAGGAAGAGTCACTACCACCGGCAACAGACTCGATAATTGTATTGGATAGTGAAGATAGTGAGGAAGAAACAGGATTAACTAGGCCGACGCTGAGGCTGCGCATGTTGAAGAGAAGAAAGTCTCAAGCTTGACCACCTCAGCCTTATTTTAAGCATGGTTCTCTGTATCACAGAACAAGGAGCTTTTGAGTGTTCTTGTTTTGCTTGGTAAATTGATGTTTTTTGAGTGCTAAACTGCTTTGTAAATTATTCAGTTTTTGGATTTTCGGTCTTGCCTGACAACTGACAAGGGAAATGACGTGGGCCTTTACTTCGGCCCATATTTCGGCTCATAATATCACAAGCCCAAAAGAATTTGTATACTGATAGGAAACAAAAACGTGCGAAGGGAGCGGTGGGCGGATATAATTTTGCGCCCCCGGAAAGTTAATTTGCGGTTGTTGGGGGCCGGAGAGGAAGGCGGCTGATTAGCTTTGGCTGCTCTTGCCGGCGATTCTTCCGATATCTAGGGATTTCGAAGAGCTCGAGTTAGAAGGGGAAAGCAACTAAGCTTAGCGGTATCAATAGCTGTCTGGTAAAACGGAGGGTGAGATGTCGTCTATTTGCCTCTCCGCCTGTTCTACATCCAGACCGCTAGCGGTTCCGCCTTGTTCCGCGGCGGCGCGTGCCTATTCTTCCACGGCGGGTAAGGGGTGCCAGTGTTCTCTCTCTTTCCGGCCAGCGAATGGCTCCGGGAGACTCCTTTCTTCCGCAGGTGATAGAGGAAGGTTGCAGGTGGTTCGTATGGCTCCCGACGAAGAGAAGCTGACTCGCCGAAATCCTCTTGATTTCCCAATCGTAAGTCTTTTCTCCCTTCCTCTGTTCAGAAACTTTAGTTTTCAGCTACTTACATTGGGATTGGAACTTACTGTATCGAGTCCATATGATGGTACTGCTGATGTTTTCGTGAATTGGGGATTATATGTGTGTTTGGATGAATTTGTTCAACTGCAATTCTTGCTTCCTGTTTCCCCAAGAAATGTCAGCTAATTGGTGTTTGGAGCCTGGAACATAGATGTAGTGGAAGTGTGCTCCATTTTTAATTCCTGAAATAGTACGTAATTTGGATAAGAATTTAGATGATAATGTTAACAATGGATTTGAAGCTAGAAGAACTGCAATCAAACCGGTTTCATATAAAGTTTGGAGCTTTGTCGTTCTATTAGATGTTGATCTCTTAGGGTGTCCTGGTAATATGGCCATCGGGATTCATCAATTTGGGGTGTGACTATTAATGGCTGGCAGGCAGCCAACAAGGTTGTTCAGCCATAAAATCCTTTCAGGCTGCTTTAGTTTCTTTTACCAATCACGTTTAGATTGTGTTCCATTGCATAATACTGGATCTGATACGCTTGGAGATTTTCCTTGACCTTGAGCGGTTCTCGGATGCAGTCTTTGGCTTTTCCCTCTAGGTTCATGCCTTAGCAGTTTGTTTTATTATATTGGGTAGGAAGTTAGGCTAGGAACCTTCCCAGTTTGGAGAATGCAATCAAATGTTGTTCCTGCTGGAGTGATTTTACATAATCATGGGGGGAGCAAATGCCATGTTTTATTGTGAGCAATTGAAAAGTAGCTGCTTTTAGGGGAAAAGGCGCTGATCTTGGGGGACCAGTGGGTTACTCATCCCGGCTCCACTGAAAGTAGGGTTGTCATTTTAGGATGACAACAGTTGAACGGTTATAGATTCAGTGTTTATCCCATGAACCATTTACGAAAAATCCGGAATGTTCAGATCTTGACAAGTGACTGAAAACTCAGAAGTCAGAAGTCTGGTGAGGAATATGGATTAATGGGTTTTCATTTAATGACTTGTTTATGTTTTGATTGATAACATCCATTTCAATTTCATAGCTAGGGCTCGGTGTAAAGCTACTTCCTTAACCCATGCAATTGACTAGCCTCCTGGTCTTGTTCTGCTAAATTTAGGATGAAAAGGTGCAACGTGGTCTCTGAGTATCTCTTGTATAACAGTAGTGAACTTGGCATTGCAGGAATGGGAAAGGCCGAAGCCCGGGCGAAGACCGGACATATTCCCCCAATTCAGCCCAATGAAAACACCGATTCCACCACCGTTGCCATACGATCCTCCCCCAGAGGAGGAGGAAGAGGAAGACGGAGACAAGAAGAAAGAAGAGGAAGAGGAAGGAGACGAAAATCCTGATAAGGAGGAAGAACCGGAGAAACCCGACATCTAGTAGATAGAAAATAAAGTCGGCAACTCGAGCAAAATAGAGTGCGCAAGCGCAATTCTGAGCTGTTCTTTTTGGATCTAAGAGAAGGAAAGTCTTTTGGTTATTGTATGTCTTACTAGTTATTCAATTCTTACATTAAGATTTTGTGCTATGTTAATGAAACATTAGCTCTCGTTCAATTAGAGTCCTGTTCTTGCATGAAACCGTTGCTGTATTGCCCTTTTTGAGCATAAAGAACCCTTTTGCTATACATAATACCTCTGCAGAAAAAGGTGTTCTTGTTAGTAAACCTCAAAATTCCTATGAAATCTTCAGAACAGCAGTGTATGAACAGTGTGTCAACTTTAATTTCCATGAGAAGGCTTATACTTGAATAATTTACGGACTACAGTTGAGAGTGAGTCAGTCTGACCATCAATTCGTGGTCGTCGCTACAAAGAAGTAATTACTTGCATCTGCTGGTCCATCGATCACGCTTAGTCTCGCTTTCTCTCCAGCTTTCAAGTGAAAACTCTTCTGAGTCTGCTCAATCCTCGACGATTAGTCAAGTCACACTGGATAATGAAATCTCAGCTACAGGCTACAGCAGAACTGGGCTTGGAGATGAGCTTCTGGTGAAGCATTTCAATCAATCTTTACAAGTTGAGGAAGGTGAGCAAAGACTGATTAACCTTGCCTTTCAGGCCATCGCGCAGCATATAGCGCATACTAACTAATGTGTTACGCGTTGCCATTGGATAATGGCATGTGCGTTCCTTGCTAGCAGACATTTCTTCTTAATGCAGCACCATCTTTCATTTGACCTACAAGAGACAAATCAGAAACTAACTGTTACTAAAGTGACCACTCAACGACGGTCATGATCATAAATGTAAGGCTGTATCAGTTATGCAACCTGGTTCTCCTCCTATTTCAAAATCATGTCTGTTCACTTCAAGCAAATTGAGAAAGCTTTCATTCTCAGACTTGTCAGAAATTATGCACAAGAATATTCAGAAATGGAAAATTTGTAGAGGACAATGCCTTTGGACAAAAGTTTTCCAGCACGTAAAGTTAGTCTATGAGGGGACAAGTCTTTTTACGTTTTCTGCTTTTCCAAAAGACATACTCTCGCGATTTCATTACGAACATTGTTGCCATGTTGCTGGCAAAACTCAGACACTTCCAATAGAAAGTTCCAGCAACTGAAATAAAAAAGTTGAATTGTCATGGAATAATTCTATGGTGCATACCTGCGGCACTGAAACAATGACAAGATCCTTCAGCAATCCACAAACGTTGGACCTTTGATAAATATCAAATGGCACTTGGAGAAAGACCCCTTCCTCTTGCAGTAGAGAAAGGTCTGGTATGTCTGATTGAATGGACTCCTTTTTGTTATCCTCAGTATATACATGGTCAATAGTAGCAGCAGTCTCATGGAAAGTCACTGAATCTTTTGGAACCTCATTGCAACAATTGATCTTAACTTCACCACAGATAGTCTCGGGAGTCTAACATTGAGTTCCATACCAAGAGGGCCATTTCTCTTCTGCTCTTCCAAATTGAGTGTGAGGATGAGGTGAACCTGAACACAGAACGCAAATGTGCAGATAAGTACCGATCTTATTACAATGTGGCTAAGAAGCACCAACTCCCAACTGAGTGAAATGTCCTGTCCTAAGGCGAGTGCGTGCAGCCGGAGACAACCAGCTGCAGACACATTTCATCCAGTGCCAGTAAGCAGAACTTTATTTTATAAGACCAGTATGCAGAACTTATGTTTCACTTTGAAGCAAAAAAATGCAACATAGGAAGAAATGATTCTAAGCTTCCATGGAGCATTTACGATAATGATTTCCAGGTACAAACTTCCACAAGATGCAGAGCAAAATGGACTAAACTGATAAGCTAAGACAATATATTACATATGTTAGCTTCGGGCCCTGCTGAAGTCGCACCTGCTCGTTAACTTCTATTTGATATGCTGTGGAGATTTCATAAGGAATTCCAGTTAACTGGACTGATAAGCTAAGACAACATATTACATACGATAGTTTGTTGGGCACTGGTGGAGTTGCACCTGCTCGTTAACTTCTATCTGACATGCTCTGGAGATTAAGGAATTCCAGTAAAAGCCTCTTCAACCTGAGCTGTCACCAGAGATGGTATTTATGAATAATATTCTCGATCCCCAAAGCCTGCCACCAAGAGTAGAGGTCAATTTGACACAAACAGAAACACAGAATTGCGATCTGTTAGGGACCTTGCTATCAGAATGACTTACAATGAGAAGCAGAAGATGTAGACCGACCAATTGGAACTCCCTGTGCCCCTTTAAGAATCATTGTTCAGCAAGCCTCCTCGCAAGAAATTCCAAATGGAATTTGTGATCAAGTCTTCATAAAGAAGACCTTCGAGCAAGCTGTCATAGGAAAGAGGAACCATCAGTCATTTCTTAAAGAACGAAACAGAATCTAAGAAGATAAAATTATATGACAAAACTTAGTAGCGACTTGCCTCATTCAATTTCCATAAGCCAGCTGCTTCTTTATAGACAGGCTCCTGCAGCCTCGAAATTAAACAACAAAGAACCTGTCCCCAAACAGAACAATCTCAATAGAGAATAGTATCGACATCATGATCCATCAAGTCCTTCAATTAACATGGTGTAAGTTTTGGGATGAACAAAACAACCCTTCTTTTCCATGAGGCTGAATAATTCAGAAAAACCATCAACAAGGCCTTTTTTGAGCAGGCCATCAATTAGAACTTTCCAAGCCACTTCATCATAATTGTACTGACGATGAAGCAAGTAGGAAAATGCTGCCTGAGCCTTGTCATTATTCCCTTCGTTATATAACCCACACACAATGAACCTGAAAGAATCCAATGTTGGTGAATGGCCATGCTTCATCATAGCATCCAGTAGATTTAATGCATCTGCATACATTTCCAGCTCACAGCAACAAACCAGAAGAGAACTAAGAATATCTTCATTAGGTGACAGCCCTTTCATATTCATATGGCTGAGTAACCCTTGAGCCATAGTCAAGCGCCTCACCTTGCAAAGTCCGATAATAAGCTTAGCGTAAGTGTTTACAGTGGGCGAACAGCCATGTTTTGTCATTTTATCTAGAAGAAACAAAGCAGTATCGTAATCCATAACCTTCCATACATCACCAACATCCAGAAATGCTGCATCTCTAACACCAACTCCTGTCAGACTGAGGTTTTCTTTACTCAATTTATCCTTGGACAGATGCTTGATTAAAACAGCATATGTATGATGAGAAGGTTCACAATCATTGTCAACCATGCGCTTGAGGACAGTAAATGCATCATCCATCAATCCCAGTTGCCCATAAGCATCGGCTAAAAATGTATACGGCAAGGAATCTGGGATAACTCCAACTTCAGACATCCTGGCCATCATATCCTCTGCTTCTTGAAGGTTTCCTATGCTGCAGTATGCATGGATGAAAGCTGTATATGTATATGCATCAGGTTTGCATCCTAAGGAAAGCATATGTTTTAAAATCCTATGAGCGTGATCAAAATCACCTTCTTTCAGCATCTCTTTGATTAGGATCGTGTAAGTATGAACAGTGGGATTTAAACCCACCTTTCCCATATTTTCCACCAACTGCAGAGCTTCTTTCGTTTTTCTCTCACTGTAAAACCCATGTATCAAGGCATTGTACGTGGATGAATTAGGCTGACAATGTTCACTGTGCATTTTTTCCAGCAAAGTACAAGCATCATCTACCCTTCCAGCTTTACAAAGTCCATCAATCAATGCAGTGTAAATCACTTCATTTGGCTGTATTCCTTTCTCCTTCAGGTTATCAAACAGAGCAAGAGCTTCCTCTACCCTCTTCTTTTTACAAAGGGCATCCACAAAAACACCGTAAGTCCATATATCTGGAATAACACTATTATCACTCATCAAATCAAGCAACTTGTAAGCGCTATCTAAATCACCTACTTTACACTGCCCATGAATCAACAAATTGAAAGTAATAACGGTAGGGGTCAGCTTAGAAGCAAGCATCTTATCTAGTAATGCCATCGCCTTGTGCACACATTTCGCCTCACAGAATCCATAGATAAACTCATTGTAAGTGCGTTCATTTGGCTTACAATTGTTAGACTTCATCATATCAAAGATTTCGAGAGCAACATCCATCATCCCCTCTTTGCAGTACCCACCAATCAAAGAGTTGTAGGTAGCTGCACTGGGAATTAATCCTTTCTCTATGATCTCATCTAACATTTGTCTACTCTGCTCCATCTTCTTTTCTTTACACATGGCATCAATCAAAACAGTGTAAGTATGAACATTCGGCTCACATCCTGCCTCCTTCATTTTACTTAACATATCCATTGCTCCTAATTGCCTACCGTTTGCAAGTAATGCATCAATCATTACCGTATAAGTTCGAACAGTCGGGATACAATTATCTTCTCCCATCTTCTTATATAAACGAATGCCTTCATCAACCCTTCCGGCCTCACAGAGTCCATGTATGAGAACCGTGTAAGAAACTGCATTTCTTCTACAACCTTTCTTCTGCATCGCATTAAAAATTCTAAATGCATCATTCACATCATTATTCCTACAATGCCCCAGTATCAACGAAGTGTAAGTAAAAGTATCCGGCCGCAAACCAGCCTGCAGAATTTTACTCAAGTACAAATCCGCCTCAACCACATTCCCAACTTTACAATACACGTTAATCATAGTATTGAATGTGTATATATTCGGCGAAACAAAGTCTTCGATCATCTCACTGTAAACTTTCTTCATCTCATCAATCATTAGGAACCTCGATAACATCATGAGCAGCTCATTGTAACTCCTAACAGTGAGCTTAAACTCCATCTCCGTTCCCCTTTTCTTCATACCTCGCAAACATTCCAAAACCGAGGGGGCCTCATCAACCGAACTGCAACCTCTAACCATGGCAATCCTAACTTTCTCGGCAACACCGAAGAGCTTATTCCGAATCAAAATATCCAAAAGCAATGAATGCGACCGAACATCGTGCCTGAACCCGGGTTTCCTCGCCACGAAATTGAAGAAATTGAGTGCGACGTAAGGGGGAAGGCCAGGGTTGTCATGGAGAAGAGAGGATACGTGAGAAGGACAGATGTCGGACATTAGCTTTCGGATGGAATGGTGTTTCTGCCAGTTGGGAAGAGAAATGATTGAGAGAAGCTGAGAAGGAATGTCAGCTGGGTCCTTCGCCGGAGGAGGAGAAGGAGCGGC